ACATGGAAACCTTCGATTAGCAGTTTTAAGTTTAGTTTTATGTATTTAGTATATTTATTTGGGATTACTTGATGAATAAATTTAGTTGATTGTTATGATTATGAAGCAAGGGAATAAAGTGAACAAGTTGTAACGTTGCATATGTTCTCATTTGTGTGGAACAAACGAATGAAACGAAGGAAAGCAACAAATAATGGTTTCGCAGCTATTCCACCTATCCCATATCGGTAGTTGGGAAACAAATGGGTGGCAATGTAGCATTGTATAAGGACGAACATACCCAAGCTTTAAGAAGAAAATGCATGGTTCTACATTGAACTGACTTCTTCTTTTTGAATTGGTTGGTTTTTGTGAGCCGCTTAGCGTTTTTGCTAGGACTCATTTGGTTTGATTTAGTACGAATTGAACCAACTTTGGTCTGATTTGGACCAAAGTTACATTAAGTTTAGAATGTGCTTCAAAAAAACGTGTTAAAAGAATTACATTAAGTTATGCGGTTTAAAACCGAACCGCAACCAAAATAACCGCACATCATAAAAAAACCGCACCGCCTAAAAACCACACAGTTCGGTTTATAAAATTATAAAAACTGCATTTGCGGTTTGCGGTTCGGTTTTGGTGAAAAACAGCACCGAACCGCACCATGATCGTCTCTGTCCACCCCTACACTTGACCCATTTGTTGAAGGAAATGTATCTTGTAATAATAAAAGATACTTATTCTAATATATATGCCCTCAGACACATATTGGAAAATTTCTTATTTAAATTTAAAATAAATTAATTATTAAAAATATTATTTATAATTATGTGTATCATATTTAATTATGGTAATTTTCCTCGTAATTAATATTTCAATCAATGTTTCTTATTCGTCCTTAGTAAACATATTAAAAAATCCTAGAATAAATTTTAGATTGATACACAAAGATTTATAGTAATAAAACCAACTATATACTCATAATACAGATCTTGTAAAAATAAAGAAAAAAATTACAAAATAAAAAAACATACCCAACCGATTAAACGAAAATTTCCCTAATAAGAAAGAAAATACTCAAATCATATAAAATGAAAAAAAGGTGAATTACAACTTGAGATATTATGCCTTTTATTATAATTCTTTTTTTTTTCGAATTTTATTTTACCTCCTTTTGTTCTTACTTCCCACCAACAAAGCAAAATAAAACAAGATTCTAAACAAGAAACCCAATGTTATGGTGATCCAAAAGCAACCCCATTTGCTAATATCAGTAACCCCTTGTCGCTTCAATATATCTGCACCAGTTGTCAAGCAAGTCGAGCTCGTAAGCGGCACACCAAGTGCCTGGCTCATGCTCTTCAAAAGCTTCAGTTTCATGGCGTCTGGAATCGCACCTAATGGCGAATTATCAAAGATTTGAGTTCCCCTCACGAAGCATTCCGTAGGATCATCAAACTCGTTCTGCAAAACACCCTGATAAGGGTACTTAACCAGTGAAAGATAATGGAACCATAACCAATACGCCGGGATTCGATCACGACTGATGAAGAAACCACTGAAGAGAAGGAAATACGCCAGAACTGCAACCACAACGGTGTATCCAAGCATCACGTGAGTCACAACGCCGGAGAGGAAGGTGACGAAAGAGCTTCCGACCCAAAATGAGGCAAATATGAAGAGGAGGAAAGTGAAAAACCCCATGGTCCCACCGGCTAACCCTACAGCCCAAAAGGTTATGCATGCAAATACGAATGAGAGGAAGATTAACGAAGGGATGGCCATGATCGAGTGAGATACAACGTAGGATGAACGTCTGTAAGCGTTGTACGCAGTTTCTCTCATGAATATGTATCGTTCTTGAAGGAACACAGGAATGGCTTCTGCACAAGTGTAGAACATTGTGGACATGGCAAAAGCGAAAAACCCTATTCGTTCTTGGATTCCACGTGGCGAATTGTCCAGTTTCCGAAACATGGTTGCTAGAATAGTTCCGGTAACAATGATAGCGCCTAGACGGATCGCGTAAAGTTCAGGTGATCGCCATGAATTGAGCATCGAACGTTTTGCTATCACAAGAACCTCGACCCAAAAAGAGTTTGCAAATGTTGGAACTGACGAGGATAGATTCGAATCAATGTTCGTAGCGCCCGAGACTAACTTGCCTCTTGAAATGCTTGCACTTATGGCATCTTTTAGTGACAGTTTGGCTTCTGGGACTGATCTGGTGTCATGATTTTTGTTTCTTGCAGCCCATGACTTGTTGAACTCAACTAGCCGTTTGGTTCCTAAATCGGACATCTCGAGCTCTCGGATGAAGTCGAGGGTGAATTCAGTTCGATCATCGTTTTCTGGGATTGGGTTTCCGAATTCTGCGAAGAAATCAGGTAGTTTTGATGGGATATCACTGAAAACCATTTGTCCCCTTGAAAGAAAGATCAATTTATCGAGCAAACTCATGAGTCTGTAACTAGGTTGGTGTATCGACATGATCACTATGCTTCCGCTTTGAGCAATACGTTGCAAGACTTTTACCACCATGTAAGCACTAGTGGAGTCGAGCCCAGATGTAGGTTCGTCAAGAAACAGCACGATGGGGTCATGGATGATGTCGGTTCCGATAGAAACACGGCGGCGTTCACCACCGGAAACCCCTCTATGACCTTCATCTCCGATGATTGTTTTAGCAGCATTTCTGAGACCTAACTGATCGATCAGTGCTTGAACTCTTGCTTTCTTTTTCGACTTTGACAGTGTCCGAGGAAGCCGGAACTCAGCCGAGAACATCAGCGTTTCTTCGATGGTTAGCATGGGAAACAACAAATCATCTTGCATGACGTAGGCGGATATAACTTTGAGCAACTTTGACTCAAGAATGTCACCGTTCAACGTCACAGTACCTTTCAAGCTCCCTCTCGCAATCCGGTTTGCAAGTGCGTCGATTAACGTCGACTTTCCCGACCCACTGGCACCAAGCACCGCCATGATCTCGCCTTCCCTCGCCTCGCCGGAGATATCATCCAACAAAACCTTAGTGTTCGACATCTCCACCTTACCACCTTCTAGTGAATTAGGAACGGCCGTCTTTCGAGAGACTTTAACACTATATGTGAGACTATTGAAAGAAAGAACAAAAGGTGATGCGTGAAGTGGATCAGAAACACCATGGCCGGCGTTGGGAGAAGAATTGGCGTCTCCGACGAATTGCAGAAGCTCTCCGAGCGTTGGTGAGACATGGTGCTTTGGTCGTCGAGATAGTTGCTTAAGCTCCATGCTTGAAGGACCAGAACGTGGGCCTAGAAATGGCAGATCACTTGCCAGGGACATGGTGTCAAAAGACATGCTAAAGTAGAGTGTGATAAGATTTTAGCTTCAAAACAGGCTTTCTTTATAGAAAATTTGGTGATGTGACTAAAAAATCTTTGAGCGTCGTATAAGAAAAGAAGACGTGGTTGGTTTCTTGAGGCGATGAGATTAATTTGGTGATCAAGGAAGAAAGCGAAAAGGGGTTGGTGATAGTTGGCGAGAAGATGTACTGACTGGACTACTATGAACCATCTTTCAATATGTATACATCACAGATTCACAGTTAATCCTTTATCTTAATATATCCTCTATTAGTTAATGTTATTAGTTGATGTCACGTAAGAAAGCAAAAATAAAAGAAATTAACCTGCTTTGGTCTATGATCACGGACATAAATTGGAGAACTCGAAAATGAGCGATTACATTAGAATCCATAACTACGAATACTGTAAATTCTAACAACTACTCCAAACATGTATCCTGTCGAAATTCGGTCTCGGGTTTTTTTTACTTTGTTCCGAGTCGGGTTAACCAGATCGCCAAATTCAAAATCATACATTAAAAACAAATAATTTTTCCATATATTTTTTGAAAACATTATATTATATTTCTATTCGATGATGGGTTTTTAGAACATCCATAATGCATGGTAAAAATTTTTCTCATCCAATTTGTTATTTTTAAGAATTATAGTTTTTATAGAATTAAAAGAATCGAACAATAAATCAATATAGCACAATGAACAATATGTTGTAAATAATTGATGAATGACAAAAATGATTGGTGCATTAGTAAAAGTCAACATTTCTTACTAGTTATGTAGACACAAAGAAGAGTAACATTTGTAATATAAATATCATTCTATTGTAAAGAATGAGATATACCTAAAGTTGCACTTTCATAAGTGATATAACACTACTAGAAACTTGGCTTTCAGCTACGGATTTAGAGAGAAATTTATTCTCTAGCAAATTTTAGGCCTTATAGCGAGAGAATTGCGAGAGATATGCGATGGTTTAAACGATTATTTTATTTATTCAACATATTGCATATTAGAGAGGGTTTAGCAAGGGATCAGCTACGGATCTCGCAACTATTTATCGACGCATTCTCATTCCTCGCCAATCGATTGAAAACGAAGTCATTTGGCGAGGTTTCAACGAGGGATAAAAAGATTGTCGACTTTGTGCCATCTGGTACGTGTTTAGCGAGGGACTGTTGACGGAGGGTCCGCACGTTATGCTTTTTTAATCGACGGTCTCTTGCTGAAATTGGCGCAATCCAATTCCAGTTTCACGGAGTTTATGTAAGTTTTCTTCCCTCCCAAGTCTGTTTTATCACTTCAATTGAGCACACATGATTCTCGAGTTGCAACTTAACTGAATCTCACCCTCTCCGTTCAAACAGATGACGACACCACTGACCATTGCAGCTTCCGATTCCTGCAGCCTCCACATTTTTAAAATATAAAATTATTCTTCGTTAACTTCCGATTCAGGTAAATCTTTTGATTTTAATTTCTTTAGTCGTATATTAGGTTAGGCTTACGTTAGGGCTTAATTTCTCAAATTTTTCCTTTTTCAATCGTCATTCCTTTTATATCTCAGCATTATATATACATGAATCACCTTAAAGCTTTCTGGTTATTGTGTATCATAGCCATATGAAATGCCTTCTTCTTTATCAACAAATTAATTTCAGGTCTACCATCGATTGCATCTATATAAGTGTTGTTATTGTCGATTGGAACTTGATTTAGGGCTTGATTGGTTAATTATTGTTTAAAAGCTATAAATTAGTTAGTTGTTGTTGAACCATGAGTTCTTACAGGTGTAGCCTACACAAATTTGATGGGAAAGCAAGTAGAAGAGAATTAAAACGCCGACAAAGAACATGTAGTGGTTTAGAGAATAACTTACCCAGAATGACATCTAATTTGCCCCCCTTAAGTTTACACCTGTTGCATTCTGGTGAACTATTATTGTTGTCATAGGTATCTGAATACCACGAAAGTGTCATTGGAACATAAGTACGATTATTGTCAATTGGAAAGCCTGCTTTGAAGTACACAACTCTGAACATAAACGTCTTGAACAGTCTCATCTCCTATTTCTATGAACAAACACCTTTATAAGAATAGACATTGTTTTTGTATATCTTTTGGTGAATTCACTTAGGTTCATTAGACTATATTTTGCATTTTTATTTGACTCACGACCTTGCTAGTTGAATTTAACAGGTTAATTGAGAATTAGATGATAGTTTGAAACAAAAAGATAGGGTATACCTAATAATAAAGGCCAATTGTACAGAAAAGAAATGTATTTCAGTCAAACTGTTG